GAATGGCCTAGCCCCGATGAAATAGCAGACGCTAGCAGTCCGAGACCGGCTATGACAGCGGTAATCCAGCTCACGGCCTTTTGGTCAACAGTCTTCCCGTTTGATAGTTGAGCCTCGACGCAAGCCACACTCACACCATCGGTATTATTGATATAGATCCTAACAGTGCCGTCGAGATCCGGTACGTTGTATGCAAGAGCTTTGTAAAGGTAGAGGTTAGCAACGACAAGTGAGAATCTGCACCCATATGCCTAGCTTACCAGGTATTGACTTTATGACTTCTTCAGAGACCTGAATGTTTGAGTTTAGGTCAATTTGACCAGTATTCATGGGACAAAATCCCTTCAGGTCTGCCATGCGGCAAGGATCCAGAACCTGCTTCAGTGCGGTGAACCCGTAGGCAATGACCCTCAATTCAGCGGTGATATTCCCTGCTATCGATGAGATGCCGACGACATCGAACCCAAGGGTGCGATTATCAGGCGTAAAGACAACATTAAAGAGCGATGCCGTGAAGTTTGAATTATCCTGACATGGACTGAGTGATTTCGATTCGATTAATCGGATCGCGGATGAGAATGGAAGTATAGAAAGAAGGATTGCGAGGAGCAGAGAGAGCGGTGTTGATATTAATGAGCGACGCATCGTGATAACCCGTCGTTGCGTTTTCTTAGAGTTGATGTGCGATCAAGTGGCAAACGTAACCTCCTGTTGTCTTGCCCACCTCCGACCTCATCAAGATCAAGATTCGCAATGACTTAAGACGCGCGCTCGCCTTTGTTCAAACGCGTTTTCAGCGACCTCAGTTGCTTGTTCCAAGGGATGTGCTGTTTGGATCTTTGTTACGGGCGTCGGCTGAGCGGTTGCAGGGGCGACCGAAAAACCTGACGAAAATAAAGGGTGAAGAAAAGCGAAAGGCAAAAAGGAAACAATTAACTCTCCAGAGCGACCGTGGAATTCTACAGCGGAACGATGAACCTCACTCTGAGCAGAGAAAACGAATGATGGCGCGACGAACGGGTGAGAATTTGTTGAAAGTGAAGCTGTGAAGAACTGACGGAGAAGCCAAGGGACGAATAAGGCCGGAAGAGGGCTGTTACTAAGATAACCACCGAAACCTGAAGGGGGGAGAACGGAGTAGGGGTTGGGCAGGGTTGGTTTTCGCCTGGGGGTGGACGATGTATTGGTGACGGAAGTGACGCGGCGCTTTCAGCGTAGCGCGCGATGCTTTGCTCGCATTGAACTGCACTGCCTCACTCGCCTGCTACAGCCAGCATGGGCGGGCCAAACGAAACCGGCATAGTATAATGATCCTACATCGATTCGCCGCTGCTCAGCCGTAGATCGTATGCCCACAGGGCGAGCAGGGAAGGGTCTTGGTAGAGTCCGGGTAAAACGGGGAAAGGGGGACCCGATGTACAAGTACAGATTCTCCAGGCAAAGTCCGGAGACCGCCCACAGCATCGCACGTCGGATCTCGTGAAGTTACGTGGGCCTCTATATTTTTATTTTCGCACCCGGTTGTTCCGCATGGACAACAGGCCCGTCCATCCTGCGAGACCGTTTGGGAAACGCGGATTCTAGCGGGTTTCTGGCACCTTGTGATCGTAAATGCCCTAACTCCGTGTGAAACTAATTCGTGACAGATTCAAGGGAAAAAAGGTTTTCATTTAAGCGCAGGTACGCACTTCTTCGTAACTGGTTCGGTCGGTTCTACCGTAATCTCAGCCCCATGCTACTTTGATTCTGCAATACGGCACCGCCCCAGTCAACAACGGCTTCCGCGCAGAAACATTTCGCAAAAATAGATGGTCTGGGTGGGCAGAAATACAGACCGCATGGCAAGAAAAGTAAAATAAAAGTAAAAATATCGTTATATGTATCCGAAAAACCGAAATGAATATTCCCAACGATATTTTAAATAAAAGTTCTAAAAGGGCGCGCGAATTTGCGATGAATCCATGCTGCGTCACGAGATTGCGATCGAAATGGATGGAGGCTCAAGTCAAATCTGAAGTTCGTGACCTGCATCTGCAAATCGAGCTTCTCACCTCGCATCTTAGCCGCACACTGATTATCCGCTGCAGTCTCCAAGATGCCTAAATATAAGTCCTCTCGCCTTCCATCCTTAAGCCTCCTCTGCTGACAACCCCATTACTCTTCTGTAGGTGCCTTCAAACTCATCCCCGATGATTTTGCTCTGCGAAGTGAACCATTTCCCAAAACGATCGTTTGGTGACAAGAAGCTTATATGACGTCGTAACCAACAAAGGTGATTACTGCGATGTGTACCTCACGCACGACTCGATGAGCGTGCGCAAAGCTCATAATAGCGGAAGAAATCATCTGAGGAATGTCGTGGACTACTACCAGCGTGAGTTGCGCGTCGCAGAGCCTCCACCAATTAGTTTCGTAGGTTGCTATTGCTAATTCGACATGGCGAACCACCAGAGATCGGTCACGAGAAGGCTCAGAGCGTCATCGATTCAATCACAAACTCCTACGCAGCGGAGGGCAAATCCAGCCAAAACCCCATGCTAGGACAAAACCCTGGAGTTGGCCAGCCGTTTCCACCTCCACCTTTCGGCTTTCCTGGTGTGTCACCCATCATCTATGCCCACCGCCATTGACCACAGAGAGCGTGCAAATTAACCACTGCTTAGGTCGTCCAGGTGCCATCCCCCCGCCTCCCTTTGGCGTCCTCCCGGGCGGTCCAGGTGGCGCAAGCGGCCTTCCTCCGCGTAAGCTCCCACCCAGTTACCCCAACACTCCCCCATGCAAAATATCAAACTAACCCCAAAATCAGCCCCAGGTGGTCGTGTTGCCATGCCATTCCCCTTCCCGCCTCCGATAAACGCTGCGAACGGAGCCACAAGCGGACCACCAGCTCCTGTACCGAGCGGTATGCCTGCCTTCCCGCCCCTACCACCGAGTGGCTTCCCGCCAAATTTCCAGTTCCCGCTACCGGGCATGCCAGGTTTTTTACCGCCGCCAGGGCAACACATGAGTCCAGGTGCAACCCCAGGCGGACCGCCACCAGGGATGCCTCCAATGAGTGGCGGTGGGGAGAGCGGTGGGAGGTGATCGGGAGTTGCCTTACTCCCATCCTCGAGATACGCCAAGCGGGTAGGAGGTTTGTGTGTATAACTAGATGGCCTTGCCACTGCTTTTTGTACTTAAAAAGGCGTTTCTGGAGGCGTGTGTCCTTATCCATAAATTATATCCATTTCAGAAAATATTGCGACCGAAGATAAATAAAATGAAAATAAAAATAAAAATAAAAAAAACCGGCGATGTAGATCCCACCTTGTCCATTGCCTTATTTTTCTACCCAACCCCCGGGAATCTACGCATAAATCGAATCCTGCAACAGTTCCACGGGGAATTCGTACCGCATAGACGAAAAACCCTGCCCCCCCAAGTATCCACGAATTCATCCGTTCATGCCAACCAACAACCCCCCCTACCATCATTATGCTTAAAACCCCGTCCACACCACAGACAGCCCTTATCGCTAGCGTCCTCCAATCTCTCTCCCACATATCTGTTTTAGCGGTTTGGCGTTTTTTCGTTAAAGAACGCCACTTGCGGGGGGAGAACAGAGAGAGGGGGGGGGGGTTACAGGACGGTTTCAGGTATTCAGACCTCCCCGTTCTTTCCCTTTGGGTTGTTGGAATTGTTTTTTTGTGTGTTTTGGCGTCTTGAGGGACGGGATTGGGGTTTATTGAGGGTGGGCTTTTTATGTGGTGGGTAGGGACGGGGGGTGGCGTGGGGATCTATGGTTTTTTTTTTATATGTGTGTCGGGGTTGTGTTGTACGTGTGCATGAGTACAAATTATTGGTCTGGTGCTATAGAGTTCTTTTTATTTTTTTTCTGCATGTTCGGTGGGGTGGTGTGTGGTGCGGGATAGACACTAGATATCCTCGCGGAAACTGTCTGTTGAGTCCGCTATCAAAAATCGGCGAAGGTGGTTTATGAGTCGGATGGTAAGTGTCGTGGCGGGTTTCCCAAGGCGGAGAATATCCGCGGTCCTACTATCCTAGACATGTCAATTGGGGCTGGATCGGCGTGGCGGTGCTATTATGAATGCCTTGAGGACGGAAAACTTTTTCCCCTGTACACCTATGTCCCGTCAAGTGCCCATATCGGAATATTCCCCCCCCAATTACCTCCCCACGCCCTCTCTCCTCTGCCTCAAAATCTCTAACCTCAACCCCTCGGCTGCAATCTCCGTCTCTACCACTCCTCTGACTCCCTTCTTCCACGCATTCTCTAACCCCTCCATCTCCCCTCTCACCCCCTCCTGCCCGGCCTTCCTCATCTTGTTCACCTCTTCAGTCTGTTGTCTCGTATCTACAAGCTCGCGCTCCACATCGCGTAGAATGTCCTCCAGCTGCGCATTGCCGACCAGCCAAGCGTTCTTGCCGAATTGCTCGAGGAGCGCGAGGTTCTGATTGCGGGTATGGAGGTAGGTGGAGGAAGTGTAGGCTTTTTGGAGAGTGCTGTGGTAGTCGGTTGGGTTGGTGCTGGCGGGTGCGTCAAGAGCTTCGTAGCGGGAGGTGTCGATACCGCCAGTGAGGGGTTGGTTGGAGGCGTGGCGTGCGATTTCTTGTTCAAGGAGCGGGGTTAGCGTGGATGGTGGAAGAGCCGGGAGGAGCGGGTGAAGCGTTGTGAGGTGCTCAGGCGCAAGAGACGCAGTAATCAGGGAAGCTATGGCGGCCCGCTGTTGGGGGGTTGGCTCAGGATCGACGTCTTTGATGAAGTTAGTGATTGATCCCAAAAGCTCATAAAGCTCCAAAAGAGCGATGAAGAAAAACCTACAGGGTAGAGAGTCATGTGAAGCGTCTATCAGAGGCATTTTTTGCTTGGAACCGATCGGAGTTAGTTAGGAAGTTATTAGCAATTTCCTCTGGTCGAGGTTGCTGGGAATATTTTGGCAAATGTAGGTGGGTGGTGGGCTTGTTAGATCTTATGTCGCTTATGCGGACGGTCTGTCATCGGTAACATGGTGTAATGGTAGCACGTAACGTTGTGGTTAAGCGTCTTGGCGCCGTTTTGGTCTGAGTTCGATTCTCAGTGTTACCACACACAGATCTCAACTTTTTTTTTTTTCCTCCGCCGCCTTTCTCAACACCACACACAATTCACCCACTGCCGCCTTTGCTCACCCATCGCGCACCCCGTCCCCCAGACTGCCCACCCGTCCTCGCCCATCCTTCCTTATTCCGCGCCGCCAAAATCGTCAACTTTTGACGATGGGGTGCGCGTTCCCAACCCCGGGTCCCCGGAAGCTGCTCCACGATGGGGTGCCCGTTCTCAACCCCGGGTCCGTCGAATCCCCCCCCCCTAAAGCTGCTCTTTCTTGCCTGTTATTCTATGTGCTGCTACTTTCTCTGCGTCGTTACCTTCTGTGCGCTGCTCTTTCTGTGTGCTTCTCTTTCTGTACGCTGCTACTTTCTGTCACTGCTACTTTCTATGCGCTGCAAAAAGCCTTTTCGCTGTTCATACCACTATTCTTTTCAAAACTATCTTTGGTTTACGTCGACTGTTATTCCGACCATCAGACCGTTTGACCGTTTGACCGTTTGACCGTTTGGCCTTTCGACTGTTCACTGTCCGACCGTCCGGCCGTTCGACCGTTCGACAGTTCGACCGTCTGACAGCTCGACAGTCAGACCGTTTGACCGCTCAACAGTTTAACCATTCGACTATTCACCGTCCCACAGTTCGACTGTCAGACCGCTCGACTGTTCGACCCTTGGACCATCCGACCGTGCAACCGTGCAATCATTCTACAAGTGTGCTTGATGGGAAAGAAGGGGTTGACTCTGGAAGAAATAGCTAAAAGGGCTCGGGAGAAGGGTTTTAGTGATGACATAACCGGCATTGATGATACTCAAATTTTGAAACCTATCACGGCTCACACGGAACGGTTATACGATCGACGGTGGAATATGTGGGTTGAGTATGTCTATCTTCCTCACCCAATTAGACATCTATTAGGGTTGCAACTACCTTAACAGCATCCAACGGGATTATGCTAATGCCGCTACTCATAGATATACGAAGACTCACCCCAATGTCAGTCCTCATGACATGCAAACAGCAAAGCATTTTGTCGAGTTTCTTGCTTGCTGTGCCGAAGGTGTCAATAGTGACAAGCCAACTGTATCATCTATTCGCATGTATTGGCGACAGTTCATCTCTGCTTGGGAGCGCCGGACTTCTGATCCTATTTCCAAAAAGATAAAGGAATCAATCACTTATGTATGTTGCCCATAATACCTACACTTCAAACCATCTAAACATTTTCCCCGACTTTCAGTACATACAAGGCCACCTACAGAAGAAGCTTGCTCTTCCGGCGACTCAACGGCAGCCACATTACCTTACCACCAAAGTCTTTGTCATCCTATTAAAGCAGTTATGGCAGAATGACTGGTATGAGTACCATCATGAAAGTTCTAGAGTGCGGTTTACCGCTGCACTCCAACTTTGCTGTTATACGTCTGGGAGAATCGGAGAGTTTTTTGAGTCCAGTGTGCGACCAGGCTCAAATCTAGGTCTTTATTACAAAGTATACTTGCAACTATTTCACATGCCCAGCTTTGGGGTAGGAGAAGTGTCTAAAAGTTGATCTCTGACAGGACATCACTTTCGTTATACGCTGGGACAATGATAGAAAACCCGAAATTGTAGTAAAAATTCTCAGGAACTACGCCAAAGGCATGACAAATACACCACTTAAAAGGTTAGCCTTAAATTCATTAAACCTCAAGATTTTTAATAACGGGAATCTGAAATCAGGCCAATGCATTCAATTTACGAAAAGACAGATACTCTTCTGGTCAACCCAGTACTATTTCTCCTGGCCATAGCACTTGCCGATAATGCTTTTAGAGATTATTCTACCTTAGAAGAGATTCTTGCAATTGAACCACCAGCGGATGAAGATCTTTACCACATTGAATGGAAAGATGATATTCTTGATATGCCTTTTTTCCGGACTGCAACTTTCGAAGGCCCTACTAACAAAATCCAAAAGTCAAACTCATTTAGTCATCAGCTAGTGGCACTCGGCAGACGAGCAGGATATGAGGAAAATATTACTGTTCATGATGCTCGACGAGAAGCACTTATTAAAGCTGATGGTATGATCCTCTATACAATCGAATTTTTTTTTTTTAGCTAACTGTTTTGGTGGAGATGGCTACTCAATTGCGGAACGAATGAAGTTTGCTGGACATATAGACTCAAGTACTTTTCTCAATTCTTATATGGCTCAAATTAGCACTGTTGATGGACAAGCTAGCTTTTTGGGGCAAAAGCTACGAGGAGACCATATTGAGGATCTCCGCGGAATGTCTTTGCGCCGACATCCGCAGCTTTGGCATTCCTTGCCTGCGAAAATACGATGCGATCTTGAATGCCGTTCAGACCTCATTGCTCTTCAAAAGGATATCGACACTTTAACAGAGAAAATTGTTCAAGAAGGAAGCAAGCAAGATCGAGTTTTCCGACAACAACTATATGACAAAAAGCGTCGAATTATTACCATTGAACTTAGGAAGCAGCAAGCACTCCAACCACGAAGACTCAAGTCTCATACTGCACATGAGACTCACTTGGAGGACTTTCGTCGCACTCTCTTCAGCCGTACTCATCATCTAATGCCTGAGCGTAGCCGTTTGGCATCCTACCTACTCCTTCCAGTTGCATTACGGAGTCCTGAAGGCCGCTGTGTTCTTGCGGACTTGATTTCGCTATGTACACAAGATTCTCGGGTTGCATACCAGTCAAGCTTACAGCCAAAAATGGGTAATTGCCCAGTACCCAAATGTCTTCTACGTACGGATAGGTTAGTTACCTTCTCCTAATCCTAAAAAATTGCTAACACGTGTCTTCTACAATAGTATACAAGTAGCTGATCGATGGAAACATGCATATCATTGTTCTAGAACATATCTTGAGTCTAGATATGGATTTGCGCAGTTGTGCTTTCAATGTGATAAATGGATCACAGACGAGGCCAAATGGGATCAGCATTGCCAAAGCCACCTAGACAAACCTGAGTTACTTCCTCTTCGATGCGAACCTCTTGTTTTTCGCTTGGCGCTTGCATGTGCCGGATACTGCCCTTTCTGCTTGGGAAATCCGAGATTACCAGCATCTGAACGGTTACATCAATTCATGTACAAAAACCGTTGGTTGCCACATATCGGTCAACACGTTCGGGAACTAGACAGCGATAAGGCAGTAAAATGCCTGCATCCTGGCTGTGCAATATCATTCGGATCGGTTCAGGATCTGCTATACCACTTTGAAGATATCCACGGTATTAAATTCACGGAAGCAACGACAAAACGCAAACTATATTTTGATTCTGAAGACGACGTCAGCAGGGTAAAAAAGTCCCGACGAGCAAGTCGACAAGACAAGAAGTCGAATGATCTACTCTACAAAAAGAAGTTTAAAATAGCAAAAGTGCCACCACATCTTTCTGTCAGCCCTTCAGATATATGAGCTCTTCACAACGGATGGGATAGTCAAAAGTAAAACCTTTGTTTCCTCTAAGCATTTAGACTAAAATATTGTTCTGCAGCTTTTATGTTATTCTAGCATTTTTACAAGTTTTACTAGCACGTTTTATAGCTGAATATAATATTATTTATTTTATCTTCAAGTTTCGACCAGCTCATTTAAGATGTTTAAGCTCCTTGATTTTGATGCCTCTGGGGGGTCGGAAACCGGGGCCTGGGGGTAAGGAACGGAACCTTTTCTAAATATAACTAAGCGCTCACGTATCAATTCTTGTGTATTTGTGGCTCAGCTTACTTTACTTATTAGTTAAAGTTTACGGTGCTGGCCTCCATCATAGAATTATATCTTAGGGCCCTCCGCAAGCAAACGTTTACATTCACTACACCTTCGCACGATATAGTTCAACCCTAGCCGACACAGATTTCTGATATGGAAACCTCCCACGATTTTGCTAGTAAGGGGCTAGATGAGGGGTCTTCAGAGCTTTCAAATGACGATACAGATATATTTACCTCTCAAGTGAACAGCAACACTTTGTCTCAATCCAAGGGTGTTGATATGTCAGAATTGTCTACTACAGCTTGCCCGGTATATTGTCCAATGTGTGGAGCGGAAATACACAGAACGTGGTCCATTGGCTGGAAGCTTGATAAACGAAGCAGCTATCAACATAAGAAGCGCTTTTGTCAAGTCTATACGGGAAGATCAGCAAAGATTGCGTGGGGAAGACGAGGGTATCCAGAGATCAACTGGAGGAGTCTGAAGAGTCGTTTCAGTAGCTTTCACCCTGCTCTCAATCAGGTCATCTTGAAAGGAGTTCAATGCAACAAACCAGAAAAGCCAAGATTGAGTATCGCCAACCAAATACCCTTAGCTACAGCCGGCTACTATGGGCCCAGGGGGCGAAATAATATGTAACTATTCACACACTCTTTGGATGACCCATACTTACTAGCCAAATAGGTCTGACTATATTGGATTTCACTTTGCGCAGCGAATCCGCGACATTGCCCCTAGACATACACTTATCGCCGATATTGGAGTTGGCAGTTATCCTCACTGTCTTCGTACCTGACTGAGTTGGCTATCCAGTTGATTAGGGGGGATATGAAGATTACCAAAAAAAAAAGCATGTTGTACTGCAGGAGAGTACTGAACCCGAAGAGATTCTAAATGGCGGCAAAAGCTGAACGCTAGGGCTCATGGTAACGATGAGCTCAATTCTAATCTCCTATACTCTTCGGGCTTTGTAACTATTTCCTCTATCCCGTTAAGAGTGCGAATGTGTCGGCTGCGAGATGCTCATCCTCGACTACACCTTCCCCGACCCTCCGCCCAATTGGGGTAAGGATAAACCTCACTGGTTCTGCTCGGGAGGCGGACAGTCTGGATGGGAACAGCATGAAAGAGAACGCCGCTGGGTCACTGCCTGTCTTGCCTACTATGGCCACCCGGGACATAGCAAAGGCTGGAAGGAGATAACCACTAAGGATGCCGCCGCTTGGGTAGGACATCAAGGGGTGGGTTTCTGAGGTTTCGGTGCA